TCTGTCTATCTGTCTATCTGTCTATCTGTCTATCTGTCTATCTGTCTATCTGTCTATCTATCATCAAATTTGTATGCTGCCTGTCTTGCCAAAGGTAACTCTAGGCAGCTTACAGATTTTGAATAAAATGTAATGTAAAACATTAAAACAATAAATAAAGATCTTAAATTTAAAAATTCAGTTAAAATAAAACCAAACAGGAGGGAGAGGGAGGGAGCGAAGTGCACACAGGAAGGAGATCAGGTGTTCTCTAGCCATTAGCCACCTCCATCATGTTACATCCCCATTGGGGCTGCAGGCTAGTTGGCATAGCCATGTCTTTACGTCCTTTTGGGCTGAGAACATTTTTTCTTACCATCTTTCAGGTAGCCAAGAATCCAAGATGTATTTCTTTATATGACCCATAGCCAAGCAAATCATTATTTTCTATCTCATGTTGAATCCACTCAAAGTAATTGATCTGTTAGGGTCTTAACCTGAAGCCTGTAACTGCCCTAGGAACCAGGTACCCATTACATGGCTTGTTTGTGAACTCCAGAGTGAATATAATCTGTATATTCTACATATCTATACAGACTCCCATGTCTGCTTAGGTTCATTGAATAAAGGTCCTCCCACATAACCATTCTAAGCATTTTTTTCCTGAGCATATTTTTTCTGCTGAGGTTTTAAAGTACTGTTTCCTCCTCCTGTCACTTTGAGCAGGCTTGTCCATTTTCCTGGGGGCTTTCTACATCCTTTCTTAAAAGCTAAACCCTACGTTCATAACTAGATCACAGAAAATAATCTCATTTTCAAGTGTTTCTTCAGGAAGGTTTTTGCTGCCTCTGCTGCAATGTTATGTCAGTGAATATTTTTTAAATATACATATATATATATATGCAGAACATCCCCAGTTTGAAATGATGGTGATTTCCTTGACCTGCCTATTTTCTTTCTTTAATTAAGCCCAGTGGTATACTTTTCATCATTTTCTAATTACTTGAGTTAAAAAGGTTTCACAAAGAAACTTTTTTCCTCAAGTGAATAGAAAAAAATATGAAACAGTGCACACCTTGATTTACTTTTTATAAAGAAACTCAGGAAAACTAGACAGCTAGAAGAAAGAAAAATAGTGACTTACTTACTTACTTACTTACTTACTTACTTACTTACTTACTTCTTACTTCTTTCCTTCTTTTTCCTTCTCTTTCATTCCTTTGTTTCTTTCTCCTTTTTTGTTCCTTCCTTTTTCAGATAGATAGATAGATAGATAGATAGATAGATAGATAGATAGATAGATAGATAGATAGATAGATAGATA